TGCTGCTGCTGCTGCTGCTGCTGCTGCTGCTGCTGCTGCTGCTGCTGCTGCTGCTGCTGCAGCAGCCGAATCTGCATTTTCGTGGATCCCTTGAGGTGCAGGCACCTCGACTTGAATACAAGATCTAAATACGCAGAGGAACCTGTCCTCTTCCCTGCAAGTTCTGCTGCAGCACCTGCTGCAGCTGCTGCAGCAGCTGCAGCAGCAGCAGCAGCAGCAGCTAGGCCAAGCCAGCAGGGCTGCTCGCCAGCAGCAGCTGCTGGTTCCGCTCCTGCAAGGCGCTCGCATACGCCGCCTCCAGCTTCCGACGCGTCAGCACAGTAATGTAGGCCATTGACGCCTGCAGCAGCAGCAGCAGCAGCAGCAGCAGCAGCAGCAGCAGTAGCAGCAGCAGCAGCACTGAACACGGGCGGAGGGGGAGAGCCAAACCCCACTGCTTGCGGCCTTTTGTGCTGCGCTGCGGCTTCGTGAAGGCCGAATTGAAATATCATTTAAATGACATTTAAATGACATTTAAATGACATTTAAATGAAAATAAAATAAAATAAATTAAAATAAAATAAAATAAAATAAAATAAAATTAAATTAAAATAAATTAAAATGCTGCTAAAGACCTACAGCTGCCATCAACACTCCGATGGCAATCAGGCTCAGCCGCTGCCACGTCCAGGAGAAAGTGCCTGCGAGACACAGCAGCAGCAGTGTCTAAACCCTAAACCCTAAACCCTAAACCCTAAACCCTAGTTTTGTTTTTCAAAGTTCCTGACTCACGAACATCCAGGTCCTTCAGGTCGCTCAGAGCGGAGCCGATGAAGTTGAACGCGAGAATAACTGCAGCACAGCAGCAGCAGCAGCAGCAGCAGCAAACAGAAACACGTTGGCTGTTACGCACAGCAGCAGCAGCAGCAGCAGCAGCAGCAGCAGCAGCAGCAGCGGGGCTGCGGCTCACGAGGAGTCCCCGAAAAAGTGCCGAGCAGCAAATGGGAAGTCTTGAGCGCCGTGACTCCGAACAAATAACTGGTCAGCTGCAGCAGAGGCAGGAGCGCATGCAGTTGCAATAATTTTATTAAAAATAAAACAATTAAATATTTTCCGAAGCAAACTCAACAACTGCTGCTGTCCTGTGGTGTCTGTACACCGGAGCGCGCGACCCCGCAAAGTTTCGCCCGCGGGGCTGCGCGGGAGGCGCCGCAAACCCTGAAAGGCGCAAACCCTAAATTAGGGTTTAGGGTCTCACGGAGTACGGCAAAATGGGCGACAGCCGAATCAGCGCCACGAAAGTTATCCCCCCCTCCTCCACTGCTGAGTCAAAAGCTCTGAACAAAGTGCTGCTGCTCATCCAGGAGTGCAGCAAATCGAAAAGGAGGTGGCGGCTGATCATGAAGCAGCACAAGCCGGAGAGCAGCGCCCCGCAGAGCGAGCACAGGAAAGCAACCACAATGCCCACTGCAGCAAGACAAAACAAAAATAAAAGAAATAATTAAAATAAAAGAAATGATTAAACTTCTGGCGCAAAAAGAATTCAATTTGCGGCCTCGGAAGCCAAAAGCCCGCGGGATCGGAAACGCGGAGTTTCAGGTGTACGTACACCCCAACACCACGCGGAAAGCTGCAGCCGCCATTTCTGCATTCCACTTTTTCAACTTTTCGCGACTTGAGGACTTTTTGGCTGCGCTTTTGCTTCAGTGTTCCGTTTTTTTGAATTAAATTGACTTTTAATTGCTTTTAAATGGCTTTTCTGCCTCATTTTCCGCTTTTTCCTCCAGCTTTCCACCCCCACTTACAGGTTTCGCCGTATATGCGCGAGAAGATGAAGCCCGCGGCCAAGTGCTGCGCAGCAAACCGCGCACGAACTCCAAACCCTAAACCCTCATCCGCAAACCCTAAACCCTCATCCGCAAACCCTAAACCCTAATCCGCAAACCCTAAACCCTCCTAAAACAAACAATCTGCTGACCTCACCATGAACTCTGCTGGCATGAAAAAAGCAATGAAGACCACGTACAGCACAATGTACGCAAAAGGCGCAAAATAGCCAAACCCTTGAACCTGCAGCAATAAACCTCAAACCCTAAACCCTAAACCCTAAACCCTAAACCCTAACTAAACCCTAAACCCTTAACGGTAGAAACCAGTGCTAGATTCAAAGGGCTAACTCCACAAGCTGTTGCATTCAATCAGTCTCGCGCATCCCCCTTAGTCAAAACGGCAGCTGCTGCAGCAGCCCCAGCAGCAGCAGCAGCAGCAGCAGCAGCAGCAGCATTCCCAGCAGCAGCAGCAGCAACGGCACTCGCAGCAACAGTACTCTAAGCAGTATCAGCAGCAGCAGCGCTTCTAGCTGCTGCAGCCCAAGCAGCAGCAGCAGCACGCCACGCGTCACGAGCAGCACTCTGAGCAGCAGCAGCAGCAGCAGCACTCCAGCAGCAGCAGCAGCAGCAGCAGCAGCAAACTCACTCCCGCTATGAGCTCCTTAACTATGGCAGCTGTTGTGTCGATGTGGCTCAGCGCCAGCAGCAGCACGAGGCCAACAGCAGCACCGAAGCAAACCTTAACAACCATAAGAGCCCGTAAGAAGAACTGTTCGCCCCTGCTGACGCTGCGCTGCAGCTGCTGCTGCTGCTGCTGCTGCTGCTGCTGCTGCTGCTGCTGCTGCTGCTGCTGCTGCTGCTGCGCATCTTCGCCCTCCGGGGCCGCCAGCAAGCCCTCGCTGCGGGCTGCAGCGCAGCTGCTGCTGCTGTCCATCAGCCGCTCCTCCAGCTCCCTGGCATCTCCCTTCATTGTGGAAGCAGCAGCTGCTGCTGCATCAGCTGCAGCGGCTGCAGCAACTGCAGCAGCAACGGCCTCCGGCAACTGCCTCAGCAGCAGCAGCAGCAGCAGCAGCAGCTGCTGCAGCTGCGCCCGCAGCTGCTTAGACAGACACACCGCACTGCTGCAGCCACTTAGCAGCAGCGGCGCCCTTAGGTGCTTCGGAAACAGCAACGCAGCTGTGCAGCAGAAGCAGCAGCAGCAGCTGCTGCTGCCCTCCCGAGTGTTGCAGCCTGCCACCGAGGCTGCTGCTGCTGCTGCTGCTGCTGCAGCAGCTAAGGGCCAACCAAAGGAAAAAAAAGTAACACTGGAAGCACCACAAAGAAGAGATGTGCTGCTGCTTTGCTGCTGCTAAGAGGAAGCGGAGAGCTGCTGAGACGCTAGAGAGGAGCAGCGGCAGCAGATGAACAGCAGCAGCAGCAGCAGCAGCAGCAGCAAACCTCTCCAAAGCAGAAGCTGCTTCTCTAAATGTGAGGCAAAGACGCAAATATGGTGAAAGTTAATACTAAAAGAAAGAAAAGAATGACCTATAGCCGACGGGGCCCCCTAGCCCGAGCCTTCGGCAGCGGGTGAGCTGTTGCTGCTGCTGCTGCTGCTGCTGCCAGCAGCAGCAGCAGCAGCAACCGTGCGGGCGGCGGCTTATTTCACCTGGACTTCTCCAAATGTGTATATGCTGCTGTGCAGCGAAGGTTGAAGTACTTGTTAGAGTAGAGCAGCAGAGGGTTTGCGCAGCAGCAGCAGCAGCAGCAGCAAGCAGCAGCAGCAGCAGCAGCACACCATTGTTCTATGTCTCGTGGACAGCAGCAGCTAAGCGCCCGCTTCTGGCTTCTCGACCAGAATCTTTGCCTTGCTAACTTCAGAAACAGCAGCCGAGGGCAGCAACAGCAGCAGCAGCAGCAGCAGCAGCAGCAGCAGCCGTAGCCGCCTTCTCTCAACACAGCTCCCAGCCTGCTGCAGCGAGGCCTCAGCTGGAGCTGCTGCAGCCAGCAGCAGCAGCAGCAGCAGCAGCAGCAAGCTGAACACATTATGCCCGGCAGCAGCACACACGTTTGCTCGCATGCGGGAAGGGGCAGGGGAGCAGCATCCCCAGCACAAACAGGCACAGCAGCAGCCACAGCAGCAGCAGCAGCAGCAGCAGCAGCAGCAGCCGCAGCAGCAGCTGCGGCAGCTAGCAGCGGCAATGGAGTGTCCGGGCACTTACTCGCGTGCAGCAGCTCAAAACACATCTGAAGAGTACTGGAAATTCCAGATAGCAGCAGCAGAAGCAGCAGCAGAAGCAGCAGCAGAAGCAGCAGCAGAAGCAGCAGCAGAAGCAGCAGAAGAAGCAGCAGCAGAAGCAGCAGCAGAAGAGGCAGCAGAAGAGGCAGCAGGAGCAGCAGCAGAAGCAGCAGCAGCAGCAGCAGCCGGAGCAGCAGCAGCAGCAGCAGCAGGTGCAGCGGCAACGGGAGCAGCAGCAAAAGCAGCAACAGACGCTGAAGCAGCAGCAGCAGCAAGTGAGTGCAGGACAGCAGACTCAGAAGCTTCGCCTGCAGCATCAGCAGCAGCGGAAGAAGCATGCAGAGTGGGTTTGCAGCAGCAACAGCAGCAGCAGCAACAGCAGCAGCAGCAGAAGCAGCAACAGAAGCAGCAGCAGCAGCAGCAGCAGCACGACCAGGATGCGCACAGCGCGCGCTTTCCACATTCCTTAAGTACCCCTTCTGCAGCCAGCGAAGGGAACATGGCAGCAGCAGCAGCAGCAGCAGCAGCAGCAGCAACAGAACTTGCTGCGCTGCAGCGGCAGCAAAGCGGATCTGCTGTGTCGGTTTGGCTGTATGAACGGCTGGCCCTCTTGGAGCAGCAAATTAGAAATCAGCAGGAGATGCATCAGAAGGAAATGGCAAACTTGAGAACCAGGTAATTGCTGCTGCTGCTGCTGCTGCTGCTGCTGCTGCTGCTGCTGCTGCTTCTGACGTTCATTCCGTGCTGCTGCTGCTGCTGAAGCTGCATTTCATGCTGCTGCTGCTTCTGACGGTGTCTTTCGTGCTGCTGCTGCTTGTCATGTTGCATTTGCTGCTGCTGCTGCTTCTGACGGTGTCTTTCATGCTGCTGCTGCTTGTCATGTTGCATTTGCTGCTGCTGCTGCTTCTGACGGTGTCTTTAATGCTGCTGCTGCTTGTCATGTTGCATTTGCTGCTGCTGCTGCTGCTGCTGCTTCTGGCGTTGCATTTGATGTTGCTGCTGCCGCTTTTGCTCTTGCCGTGCTGCTGTTTGTCTGGTGCTGCTGCTGCTGCTGCTGCTGCTGCGTTGTTGCTTGCTCTGCTGCTGCTGCTGTTGCTGCTATCCGTATCCCCATTATGCTGCCAATCCGGGTACCAAACCTGCTGTGCTGCTGCTTGTGCTGCTGCTACTGCTGTGCTGCTGCCTTTGCTGCTGCTGCTGCTGCTGCTGCTGCTGTTCCGCAGCTTTCTACTTGTTTTCTGACTTGCTGCTGTGGCTTTTGCTGCTGCGGCGGCCATCGGCGCCGCCGCAACTGCTGCTGCTGCTGCTGCCAGGGCACTTTGCGCGTGGCTGTTGCTGCTGCAGCAGCTGCTGCTGCAGCAGCAGGCGCTGCTGCAGTTGCTGCTGCTGCAGTTGCTGCTGCTGCAGTCCACCGTTTACATCTATCTGCTTTTCCGCAGCCACGAGGTCTCCCTGTCTTTGGCTTTGAGGGGCGCCAGCAGCAAACAAATAGCAGCACACATTGCAGCAGCGCAGCAGCTGCTGTGCAGCAACTGCAGCTGCTTGCTGCAGCAGCAACAGCTGCAGCAGCAGCAGCAGCAGCTGCTGCAGCAGCAACAGGATAGCGGCAGTAGGGGGGAGGGCGCCTCCAGCGACAAAAGCAGTAGCAGCAACGGCGAAGTGGCAGCAGCAGCAGCAGCAGCAGCAAAACAGACGGAGCAAGGAGGTGCAGCGGCAGCAGCGGCACCTCTTGCTGCTGCAGCAACAGCAGCAGCAGCAGCACCTCTTGCTGCAGCAGCAGCACCAGCAGAACCGCCAGCAGCCACAGCTGCAGCAACTTCCGTACACGAAGACACACTGAGGAAACAAGAGCACAGCAGCAGCAGCAGCTGCTGCTGCTGCTGCAGCCATAGCAGCAATGCCGCGGTCAGAGAGGGCAGCAACGGCAGCAGCAGCAGCAGGAGTCGGGCAGCATCTGCTGCAGCAGCAGCAGATGAAGAGAAATGCCCCCCTGCAGCAGCGTCGCCCTCACACGCTGCTGCTGCTGCTGCTGCTGCTGCTGCTGCAGCAGAGACAGGCGAGCAGCAGGAGCCCTCTGCCGCCCACCATGATGACCCGCGGCAGCAGCAGCAGCAGCAGTTGCAGCAGCACCAGCTCAAGCAGCACGAGCAACAGCAGCAGCAGCAGCAGCAGCAGCTGCTGCAGCAGCAGCAGCAGCAGCAGCAGCAGCAGCAAGGGGAATGCGCGCTAGACAAGAGAGAGGAACTCGTGCTGCATGCAGATTGCTGCTGCTTGCTGCAGCACTTGGCTTCAGTCACTTGCCGCCACTGTGGGGTTGCTGTTAGAGTGAGTCTTTTGCTGCTGCTGCTGCTTCTGTTTATTTTAATTAATTAATTAATTAATTAATTAATTAATTAATTAATTAATTAATTGATTTATTATTTGCATTTTGTTTGCTTTTTGCTTCTGTCTTCTTTTGTTTCTGTGGCCTCGGGCTTCGTCAGCTGCTGCTGCGCTTATTTGCTGCTGCTGCGCTTATTTGCTGCTGCTGCTGCTGCTGCTGCTGCTGTGGATTGCGTGGGTTGTCGAATAAATAAATAAATAATAAATAAAATAAAATAAAAATAAAGTGGGAAGTGGCATTTGAAATAAATGAAAAGAATTAAAAACTATTTGCTGCTGCTCTCTGTGCAGCCCCTCGCGCTGGGAACTCACCTGCGGCGCTGCTTGCTGCAGCAGCAGCAGCAGCAGCAGCAGCAGCAGCAGCTGAACCCTTTGGCTCTCGCGTTTGCTGCTGAAAGGAGAATTAAAGAAAAAAGAAAAACAGACAAAAGAGCAGCAGCTTCTTCTCTCAGCAAACAAGCCTTCTGTTCCGGGCTGGCTTTCCATTGCCCGCAGCAGTCCTTCCGCTGATGCTGCTGCTGCTGCTGCTGCTGCTGCTGCTGCTGGGCGTGGTGCAGCAGCAGCAGCGGCAGAAGCAGGAACGGCCGCAGCAGCACGCCGTCTTTGAAGTCCCACGAATTGCTTACTGCTGCTGCTGCTGCTGCGAGGGCTTACCCAACAGTAGCAGCAGCAGCAGCAGCAGCAGCAGCAGCTAGCTGACGGATGTGGCGGGGGACGGCAGGGCTGCAGCAAAGGACGCAGCAACGCGAGCAGCAGCAGCAGCAGCTGCTGCTGCTGCTGCTGCTGCTCGAGTTTTTGCCTTTTTTTGATTTAAATACAAAGCAGTATTCTGCAGCTTAGTTTAAACTACTTTTTAAAGGTTTGAGCGCATCGCAGCAGCAGCAGCAGCAGCAGCAGCGACGAAAGCCGCAGCAGCAGCAGCAGCAACAAGAATAGCAACACAGCCGCAGCAGAGGCAGCAGCAACGGCAACAGCACCAGCAACGAAAGCAGCAGCAGCAACAACTGAAGTAGTAGCAACAGCAGCAACGGCAGCAACTGGAGTAGCAGCAGCAGCTGCAGCAGCAGCAGCAGCAGCAACACCAACAGCATTTATGACAAACTTAGGGACACTTCGAGAAACAAACAAACAGAGTCAAATGGGGGGCAGCAACACCGCCTGCTGCTGCTGCTGCTGCTGCAGTCCTTGCTGCAGCAGCAGGCGTGCCTGTTGCTGCTGCTGCAGCTCTTCTCATTGCAGCAGCGGTTTTTCCTGCTGCTGCTGACTGCACTGCAGCGCCGCAGCTATTACGAGCGCAGCAGAAGTTGTTCGCTGCTGCTGCTGCTGCTGTTGCTGCTGCTGCTGCTGTTACTGCTGCTGCGGTTGCGGCTGCTCTTTGGGCGGGGCTGCAGCAGCAAAGACCTGCAGCTGCAGCACTTGAGCTGCTGAAGCTGCTGCTGCAGCATCTGCAGAGAATCGCCACAGAGACTTTGAGGCCCTTTTGAGAACTGGAGCTATGACCTTCTCTGCTGCTGCTGCTGCCTCTGCCGTTGCTGCTGCTGCTGCTGCTGCTGCAGGCGGCTGCAGCAGCGCGAGGCTGCAGCAAGCAGCAAAGGCGTAGGTGTCTGTACACAAAAATCCATATTCCCCCTCACAGCGCAGCGCCACCTTCTTGGCTTCTGCTAGCTGCTGCATTGTCCGCTGCTGCTGCTGCTGCTGCTGCTGCTGCTGCTGCTGCTGCTGCTGCTGAGCAGCAGCAGCAACAGCAGCAGATGGGCGAGCTATGAGGATGTCTGTCTCGGGGCCGCCGCTGCAGTGGGCGACGCAGCAGCAGCCAGCAGCAAGCAGCTGCACCACCGCAATTCCAAAGTGCTCCTCTTGCATGCAGTGCAGCCCCACCTGCAGCAGCAGCAGCAGCAGCAGCAGCAGCAGCAGCAGCAGCAAAGGCAGCAGCAGCGTACAGGGTCGTAGAGAAACAAAAACAGACAGAAAGAGACACGAAAGACAAGTGCAGCAGCAGAGAAGCAAATGGAGAGCCTGCGAGACAGGCAGAGCAGCGCGTCGTAGCAGCAGCAGCAGCCGCTGCTGCTGCTGCTGCTGCAGCTGCTGCAGCAGCAGACTGACCTTTGCAGTCCGCAGCATGTGCTGCAGCAGCAGATCGCTCGGGTTAACTAAAAAGAAGCAAAAGGCTTCTGCTGCATCCTCGCACTTCATGACTGCTGCAATTTTCTCCTCGATTGCTGCTGCTGCTGCTGCTGTTGCTGCTGCTGCTGTTGCTGCTGCTGCTGCTGCTGTCGTCACATTGAGGGGCGCTGCGTCGCGTAGAGCTGGCAGCAGCAGCGTCTCGCCCCTCAGGGCTGCTGCTGCTGCTTCTTCCTCCTCTTTACTGCTGCAGCAGCAGCAGCTACTGTAGCAGCAGCAGCAGCTGCTGCTGCTGCTGCTGCAGCCTTGGGCCACAGCTCTGCAGTGCTGCAGCAAACGCCAGTCTGCTGCGCCCCGCACGGAGCCGCACAGCAGCAAGTGGGTGTGGGGCGGCAGCAGCAGCGGGAACGAGGTGTACATACACCTCAGGATTTCTATTTGCTGCTGCTGCCTCTTCTCTGGCCTGAACTGGCCCAGAGATATTATGCGGTTCTTCCGCGGCTGCTGCTGCTGCTGCTGCTGCTGCTGCTGCTGCAGCTGTTCGTGCTGCTGCTGCTGCGCGTCTTGCTGTGCCGAAGCTTCTGGCAGCAGCGTCCACTCATCTTGCAGCTCATCTTGCTGCTGCTGCAGCTGCTGCAGCAGCTGTTTCTGCTGCTGCTGCACCTGCTGCTGCAGCTCCTTTGACAGACACGGGGGGTAGCAAACGGGAGCAAGCAGTTTGTTGCTGCAATTTTCTTTGCTGCTGCTGCTGCTGCTGCTGCCTGCTGCTACGGCTGCCAATTTCTGCTGCGTCCACTTGCTGTTGCAGCAGCAGCAATTGAGTGGATTCCGCTGCTGCTGCTGCTGCTGCTGCTGCTGCAGCAAAGTGCGCAGCAGCCAGCTGTACGAGCGCCACAGCGCCCACCGGTACGCACGTCGCAGCTTAGCACTTAAAGCACGGCCCTGCTGCTGCTGCTGCTGCTGCTGTTGCTGCTGCTGCTGCTGCTGCTGCTGAGCTTCCTCAGAAGTGCAAATCTGCGAGCTCGGTGCTTCTGCAGCAGCTGCAGCACAGTCGTCTGCAGCAGCAGCAGCTGCTGCAGGAGACTGTACAAATGGATAGTGAATGTACACGGATAGGCCAGTTAAGCCCTCGTGTTGCTGCCGCTGCTGCTGTTGCTGCTGCTGCTGCTGCTGCTGCTGCTGCTGCTGCGAGGAGCTCCGGGGCGGGGCAATTAGAGCAGCCAGAAGCACAGCGAGCTGCTGCTGCAGCCGCTGCAGCGGCTGCAGCAGCAGCAGCAGCAGCAGCTGCGCCCCAGGAAGCCCCGTGGTGTCTGCTAGCCGTGAGGGCAGCAGCCGCAGCAGCGCCTCAGCAGCAACAGCAGCAGCACCAAACATCTGCAGCAGCAGCGAGAAGCAGCAAGAGTAGTAGCTGGGGTCCGCCAGCCAGCCAAGCCGCAGCGGCACAAGCACCAAAGGACTGCTGCTGCTGCTGCTG